GAATGTCCTTTCTAAAGGGAGGCCCTGGCTGCATGCACGCAGGAGGTGCTGGAGAGCTGAACCGGTCCAGTCCCCATCAGCCCAAGCAGGCAGTGGGAGAGAAGGCTGGGGATTCGGAGAGAGGCTGTGGCATTTCCACTCTTTTCCCCATAGCACTCGGGCGGGACTGAGTTCCAATGTGTATACACCCTGCAGCCAGGTGGGGTGCTGACAGCTGGGCCCATGCTGAGTTGGGGCCCATGCTGCACCAGTGACTGTGTGTTCTGAGTGATCATCAGATGGCGAACTGCTCACAGAGAGTACAGTTATGTGTGAGGGGAGAGACTTTGTAATAGCCAGAAGCAACAGGAAAGCTACCCAACTGCTCCAAATGCCTTCAAGAAGCAAGAGCTGACAGAGCACCAAAGGCAATGGTGAGGGGAACATGGACCTCTTTTTTTATTGTGGTCTACTGCGGCTGGCCTGTTGAACTGCATTACTGTGGTTGGATCCAGAGAATTAAATTAAGAATAGAAAGTAGTAGGTGGTAGGCATTGATATTTAAATGATGGGTAAAACCAGGTTTCATACAGCTTAGGCCCCCACACCCAAGAAGCTGGCGCTATCAGATATTATAGGAGGACAGACTAAATATGATTCTTTTGGAATCATTACTAACAAATGTTTGTTTTTTTAAAAAAATCCTTATTGTTGAAAGTATTACATATGCCCCTTTTTTTCTCCCACTGACCCCTTGTAGTCCACCCCTATCCTAGTGCTCATAGTATTTTCTTACAATCCTTGATAGCAAGTGGTTTTCTTTTTTTGGATTTTCTTAATAGTAGAATGGAAGATGTATAGAAAAAATTAAATGATAGAAAGTTCTGATTTCATTATGTCAGGTTACTTGAAGTTTTGTTGGGACTTTGATTGAAGATGACAACCAGGTGTTTTCAAGATTTTACAATAAGATTTAGGCCAGATTTACTAAAACAGCTTTACAGGAACTTTGAAATATTGAAAATCATTTCTATGGAAAATATAATCTAAATGTAAAATTTTACTCAAATATTGGCTTTTAAGATAATCTATCATTTTTAGCAAGAGAGGTAGAAGTCTAACTCAGGCATGACATTTTCTTTCTGAGTTAATGGTGTAGGGCACAAATGGGTTTCCTCCTCTGCCTATTCAAGGAAAAGTCTTGTGATCTAAACAGGGAACAACGTGCTGTTGTATCCATGGTAAGGGGATTAACAGTCTTGTGCTTGTAAGACAGCATCCCAGCTCCTATTTAGTCCTTTTGATTTCCAGAAACAAGAGCCTGATTCTTAGACCCCTTGGATGCACTTGGCCCTGTCTGGTGCCATTGATGAGAAATGGCAATGGAGCCAATTCTTGGAGAATCACCTTCAGTCCAGGGCTCCCCACACTTGAGGAAAGGCAGTGACTTTTTTGTTTGTTTAACGTCTTAGACTTACTATTCTCCCTGGAAGCTCAATGCAGGAGGTATACTTAGTATTCGGTTGAAGAAGACCCTATGCAGCTAAAAGTATTGCCCTTTTTTTTGGTAATATCAGTCTTGGGTAAATTATGGAAATAGTGCTTCCTAAGACACCAGTACAGTGGGGGGGGGGTATCCTAATAAATACTCGATAAAATTTAGTACACAACAGAACACATTTTTAAAATTTTGTGTAAATATTAAAAGCACCCTTATGCTGACAGATGCCATTATCTTGCATTTGAACACAGCTCTTCCTGATTTTCTAAGTACATGTGTATCTGTTATCTCTTTATCCATGAAGCAAGTAAGAACTATTTTTAACCCATTGTCTTATTTTATTCTTATAGATCATTTTAGTGTGCCCAGGGAACTTTAAAAATAACTGCTTTGCTCCTGTATTTGTGTGTTTGTATTTAATTTGAAAAAAAGGTATATTTACAAGAGAATTGCAGAGATAATGCAGAGCGATTCTGTATCCCAATAGTCCTCAACCTGAGGGTATTTTGTCCCTTCACTGCTCCTGAGTATATTTGGAAATGTCTGGAGGCATTTTGTTTTTCACAATTTGATATGTTCTTGCCATCTGGTGTGTAGAGCCTAGGCATGCTGCATAAATCCTTCAAAAGAATAGACAACTTCTCACAAGTAAGAATTAGCCAGCCTAAAATGCACTGAGGGTCAGAATTTCTACTCTAGACCCATTTTCCTAATGTTATTATCTGTATATATAAAACACTAATATGCAGTGTCCCCTTGGGAGTTCGACTGGGAGACCGGGAGTTCAATCACTAGCTATGACGTGTGCTGACCACCAGGAGGCGGCACGGAATGAAGGCCCCGGTCAGCAGCCGGAAGGCCCCGATCGGCCCTGATCACTGGCCAGGCCTAGGGACCCTACCCATGCACTAATTTCGTGCACCGGGCCTCTAGTGTTAAATAACTATGATAAATATATCAAAATTAAGAAATTAACATTGGCTCTATGTTATTAAACTGTGGCATTTTTCAGATTTTCTTTTTTTAGACTAATGTCCTGTTTCTGTTCCAGAATCTATTCCTCTTTAGGCTGATCCAATCTAACAGTTTCTCCATCTTCCATTGTTTTTCATGACCTTGACATGTCTGAAGAGATTTGTAAGTGTTTTTCACCTGGGTATAGTACTGATTCCAGCCATGTAGCATATCAAGGTTGCATATGGAAATGGTGTGTTGTTGGGTTATATCTATTATAGGAAATTGTTGTGGCATTTAGAAGGTGGGGATGAGAGATAACCAATGTGATACCCATGTCAGGACATTGCCACATAATGAGGAATTTCCTACTCAGAATGCCAGCAGTGTTCTCATTGACACACTAAGATCTCAAGCCCTTTCTAGTCATGTAGAGTGAAAAGCCTAGTCTCTAATCTAGCAAATAACAGGAAGTAATCTTCAAAAGAAAAGCGTCATTTGTAGAGTTTTAGTCCAAGACTTTTTGTATCTAACAGTAACTATCTTCGTTGTAAATGTTGGTTTTACTCTTTTCAGCATCATTTTAATCTTTTGGGAATTTTTATTTCAAATGTTTTTACTTTATTTGCCAAAGTGCTATATTAAAGCATGAGTTGGCACCCCAAAGAAACACTGAATAAATAACTTGAATTAAGAGACAGTGTAGTACCATGGTGAGGAGGACACAGGGAAGAACTGATGGAGTGTATGCATTCCTCTTCCTGTTTTATTTTTCTTACAGCATTTCTCCCACCTGGAAGTGTGTACATTTATTTACTTGGTTATCGTCTGTCCCCACCCCTTTAGAAATCAAGCTCCAAGGGAGAATACAGCTATCTTCTGCCTCTAAAGACAAATACCACAAAATTCATGTTTGAGCAGTATTTAAAGAGACTTTAGGTGGAAAGAAAATCATAGGCAAATGTTCAAATGACCACTTACTTGGCTCCTGGCCTCCTCTCTTATGCCAGCAGTATTACTTGGTGTTTGTTTAATTTATAAAAATGGCATGTGCTACATATAACATTACACCTCCCATCCTTTTCATTCAATAAATGTATTTTTGAGATTTATCCTTTTATTTATAAAAGTGTAGCTCTAGTTCAGTAGCTTTCCACTGGAGGTGATCTTTGTTTTTCAGGAGATATTTGGCAATGCCTGCAGACATTTTTGATTGTCACTAGCAGAGGTGGCCTAATGACAACTACTCAAGAGAGGCCAGGGTTGCTGCTAAACATCCTGCAATGCACAGCACAGCTACCCAACACGGAATTATCTGGCTCAATAGTCCAGATGCCCTGGGCTCTTTCTTTCCTTGAATCTGTGGACTCGCTTGATAGCACAGACCAGATTTACGTGATCCATTCCCCTACTGATGGACATTGAGGTTGTTCCAGTTCTTAGCTCTGACAAACAGTTTGACAGAGAACAGTCTCACTGATACAGTTCTCTCTTTCTCTCTCTCTCTGTAAGAGAACTTCTGGTAGCCACATTCTGTTCTAGGAAACACTTCCAGAATGACTGGACCCATGGACATTCACTGCACTGCCTGGGATTCTAATTTACATGTTTACCAGCATTTGTTGCTATCTTACTTTTTAATTTTTGACAACCTGCAGAGCTTAAATAAGTAGCTCATTAAAAAAAAACTTTACACTGATTATTAATAAGGGCAAAACCATGAATAATTCACACACTACAGCATTCTACAAAATTAGGGAAAATAATTTTGCCAAGCATGCACTTTATTTTGTTCATCTCTCTGTATTTTGGACATGTTTTAAACTCACACATTTTGGGAGAACAAGCTTAACAGTTTCTGCCAGTAGAGGTCACTGTCTCTCAGAGATTCTCCACTAGGGTGTGTCTCTCTCTCTCTCTCTCTCTCTCTCTCTCTCTCTCTCTCTCTCTCACACACACACACACACACACACACACACACACACACCTCTTTCCAAGCCCCTCCACCCCCACATCCTGGAATATTTGGCAATGACATTTTAACAATGTGGGTATGCTGCTGGTACCGAGAGGTTAGAGACCAGGGACTCTGCTGAAACCCTGCAATACAGAGGACAGCACCCAACAAGCAAGAAAGAATTATCTGGCCCCAAATGTTAACAGTACCAAGCTGGAGAAACTGTGGTGTGGAAGAATCCTATTATATGAATCTTTGAAAGAAAGACTATGACAATCTCCAAGATAATAACGATGCCTATACTTAATGTTTAAAATAAGAACAAACTTTTTAGTATGCAAACTGGACAAGCAGGGGTGAAAAATGCCTTCCTCATTAGTGTTTTCCTAGGAAAAGGCAGTAGGGGTGAGTGGGTGGGTGGGAGGAAGGCAAATGTTTGATTGTTAGCAGTGATTCTATATGTGGGTGCTACCAGACAAGGAGAGGGGGTTCTGGGGCTTGGCAGACCTGCCAGCTGGCATGGTGGTAGGTGACCTGGTAGTATCCTTGACTCATGCAGGGGCAGAGTAGTACTCACCAGGGTAAAAGAACTGTGGTTTTGAATCTTAGGAGTTGGTGGTGGCAGGGCCTCAAGTAATAAGACACCAGCATGACAGTTCTCTCACAGTCTCCAGCTGTGACTCTGTGACCTGTGCTGGTGATGTTCTTGCATCAGGGTAGATGGCAGACAGGAAAGGCTTAGGGAGGGTAGTGGTATTGTCCTCCTTTCAACCTATTGCACCAGGAGCAGAGTCCCAGGCCTGGGCACAAGGGTAAGGATCACTCTGTTTCTCCATACGGGCTTGAAGGCAGACGGCCTGCACTCTAGGCTTGGCCTCCTTCTCTTGGTGTCTGAGTCTCAAACCAGAGATGTCTGTCAGATTTCCTTTTTCTTTTCTTGCATTGGCTGAGAGGCCTCAGTACTGTCTCCTTAGCACAGAGGTCAGGGTGCCCTTGGGTGGGTGGATACATGTATATGAATAGAGGGAAGCACATTTCCAATTTACGGTTGGAAAGCAGGTAACTGCAAAAACAATGTTCAAAGGTTTATGGTAAACTGAACATAACACTTCAGTTTGGAGGTCTGTTATTGGTCCAGCCCCAATACTGGAGTGGGAGAGGGACAGAAATAGTGGCCATTAGAGCAACTATTGGATCAAGAGTGGACAATGGATTTATCTGGATCTGAGAAGCTTCAGTGGTTCAGAGAGGCCCAGTGTTTGGAAGGCAGGGGTGCTGCCAGCTAACAGGTGATGGAAAGTGAGGTCCCTAAAGCTCTCTACTAAATAATTCTTCTTGATTTTATTTTTTGGTAGAATCCTTATATAAGGAATGGTCCTCAAGTATTGATTTTGAAACAAAAGAAATTTCCTATGTAATTTTATTCTTAATAATACCTCTCTTCATAATGGTAGAAATTACTTTTCATTAATAGCTAAGACACCAGAGTAGATGGTCCAATGAAATGTGGTATAATTTGCTTACAGTGTTTTTTTTTTCTTCCCATCATTTGCAGAATTTCCCATGTCTTACTTTGCAATATAACCCAGAGGGTGTCATTCTGGTTTGTGGTTACAGATCCTACGAAAAACTACACACTTCCTGCTGATGAAATACAGTCAGCCATAAGGTAATCATTGTGAAATATGCCTTATACCAGTAAATCAGCCTGTTGATTAATTCAACTCTTTTCATAGGCATTAAAGAAAGTTATCTCTGCTTCACAATATTTATTTATTAAGATGTCAAGGATTTTATTTTGCTAGTTTGTATTAGAGATTATAGATCAATGGTTCTCATTAAGGGGTACTTTTCCCTCCAAGAGACATTTGGCAATGCTTCCAGATATTTTTGCTGTCACAGCATGGGGCAGAGGGAAGTTTGCCACCAGGCAGAAGTTAGGGATGCTGCTAAACATCCTACTATGCCCAGGACAGTATCTCACAACAAAGAATTATTAGACCCCAAATGTCAATCATGCTGTGGTTGAGAGACCCTGGTTTAAATATTAGCTAAGAATGTTTAGTACTGTCTTTTTTTTAAAAGCAAGAACACCTTGTACAGAACTATTGTGTGATGGTTCATCACATGAATTCTGGAGGCCAAATGTTTAGGTTGTTAATTCTGGTTTTGCTTCTTGCTAATTATTTGAATATAGACAAATTACTTCTCCTCTTTTGCTTTCTTTTTTTCATTTATAAAACAAGAATAATATGATACCCCTAGCTCAGATTTCTTGGGTCTCTAAGAACTTACCTTCCTTAGTCAATGTATAGTCTTTATCTTTAAAAGATACCTTTTAGATAACTACATACATAGTTATTATAATATTATTGACTATATTCCCTGTGCTTTACTTTAAGTCCCCATGACTATTTTGTGACTACCAATTTGTAAAAGATACCTTTTTAAAAAAAGAGGTAAACTTAGGATTCATACAAATAAAAAATAAATTCTATCAAATACTTTATTATTTTATTCATTAATGAGGAAACTAGTAAAATATTAAAACTAGTTCAAAGGAGACTTCAAGGAAGCATGCATACATAGGAATCGAGGAATGGTGATATTCATTTAAAAAAAGATGCACCAGTTTATTTATCAAGTAGTCATTAATCATGTTCCACCAGACACAATTCACTTGATTTTCTTTGGACAGGAATCATTTACATTATGTTAGTTTTATATACAACTTACAGATTTGCAAAATAACTCATAAACAATAAAAGGCAGAAGTTGTCCAGAAAGGTGTTCTTGTCAGATACTCAGTGATATTTTTTTGCCCATTTCAAGATTTACAGTTTTTCCTCACGCTTCCCCTCCTCCTCTCCTTGTGATCATAACAAACTTTGAAAAGGGAAATGTAGCCTTTATTTCATAGAAGCAGAAGGATGCAATTTGTTTTTATTTCAATTACTGTGCACACTTTATGTATCAAAACTTCAGATCCCACGCATGATTGATGTTGGGCAAAGGTATATTGGAAGAAACAAACTATAGGGTATCCCAAACATGTACATACACTTTAACAGCTGATAGCTCAGTTGATGTTTCTTTCTTTTCAGATTTAACCCATTGGAATTAATCATTGTGCAAAGTGTGTATACATTTTTTGGGACGCCCTGTATTTTCTGAAAAAGAAAAATGAAACAAAGTACATAACTCTCTTTACTATGGATTTATAAGTTACTAAGGTTCACATTATTGTCTTTACCAAGGCGAAATATCTAGTGAAAGAACTCATTTGCTTTCTGTAAAATATTAACATTTAAGATAATGAGCACATGATCAAATGCCAAAGGTTTTGTGTGAACAATCATCTATTTCCCTTGCTGAAGCAAAGTTATTGATGCCAGGGGTGGGGAACCTTTTTTTCTGCCAAGGGCCATTTGGATATTTATAACATTATTTGTAGGCCATAGAAAATGTTCAACTTAAAAAAATAGCCTGTTATATTTGGTCAAACATTTCATTAACTCACCACTAATGCTTTGGCAGGGCCAGACCAAATGATTTCGAGGGCCTTATTTGGCCTGCGGGCCAGACGTTCCCCACTCCTGATCTATACCAATGGGAAATGATTTAATCTGCTTTAAATGATGATTTGAACTAAATTGTTCCTACACTTTTGCTACTAAGAATACTGTTAAGACCCACCACTTAGGTAGTAAGAACTAGGAATATTGCATTTCATGTGAAAAGGGCTTTTATTCAAGCCCTGTGGTGTGGGAGGGCTACAAGGAAAATGAAGGCACTTGTGGTTAAACCAGGCCTCAGTTCATGTTAAGGAGGAAGTGTTTGGGGTGAAGGTAGATATGTAGATGAATATGTTCACAACAAAATGTTTGTTTCAAATAGCAGGAGAAAATATTCTGGGGGTGAGGATGGCTAATAGAATGGAAATTTATGTCAGGGAATGGATAGGGCTCAACAGGATTGTATGAAAATAAAGGAAACAATATCAAAAGCGAAGGATAGAGTGAAAAGAAGGATGTGGTACTTAGAGTGCAGGTAAGAGAAATTTCAAGTCTGAAGGATCTACATAGTTGGGAAAAATAATATTAGTTATACCTAATTTGCCTAACACTTTGGTTCACAGGCATGTTTTTATGCATCTGTGGCATTTAATACCAATGCCAGTCATTTTTGAGTCATTATTCTTATTCCTCATTTATAAATGAGGAAATTGAGATTCAGGGAGATTAATTGATTTGCTAGAAAAATAAACAGCGAGACTTGAACCCAGGCATGCTGCCACCAAGTCCAGTGATTTTTTTTCTCTCTACTGGAGTGTTTACACCTATAGAATCAGGTGAGGGAATGACTGACCAGTTCTAAGATGTCTGTTTTAGCTGTTTTGTGAGGGTCTGTCCATATTCAAGGCCAATCTTGGCTGAAAGATTCTTGTTGATTGATACCTATTGGGGATTTCAGTGGTGGACTGAGATTTAGTCTGTACTGAACTGGAACTTTGAATCAGCCCGAAAGGTGATAGAATAGCAAAGTGTTAACCAACCAAATAGATAGGATGAGAATGCAGAGCAACTTTTCATTTTACTCTGACTTACACCTTAGTAGAGGAGTTCATTATTTTGTGGAAAGATTTGTGTTCCTGGATTATCAATATTAGCTTGTAAAAAAAGAAAACATTCTACAGTTTGGTAAAAATCACATTGACATTATCTCCTGCTATAGATTATCTGGTTGGGATTATCTTTATATTAATGAATAATCATGCCTCAGCATAGATTTTTATTTGCTAAAGGAGGTCTTTCCTGATAGTTTGGTGCTGATCTGCAGAGATTCTCAAGCCATTACTGTCAAGTTCAATACGGGCACTGTACAAGACAGTAGTCACCAGCCATATGTGGCTATTGAGCACTTGAAATGTAGCTAGTACTAGGTTAGATATGCTCTAAGTGGAAAGAACACACTGAATTTCAAATACTTAATACAAAATAAGACATGAACCAAGGCAATATTGATTATATGTTGAAATTATATTTTCTTAGATGTATTGGGCAAAATATATTATTAAAATTAATTTTACTTGTTAGTTTTCACTTTTAAAAAAAATGCAGCTCCTAAAATTTTTTAAGTCACACATAAGACTCACATTGCATTTCTATTTTTCAGGGCTGCTCTAGAGGGAGATGAAGTCAGCTTGTCCAGTGTGAATTCAGTAAAGGTCATACCATATCTCTAAGAAATCTCATCTAGTTTTCAAATTCCAGTTAGAAATTAACTTTTTTTGGTTTCAGTCAAAGAAGTCTTTATAACCAACCCTTCCCTAAGGCATGTTTCCATGCCTCCCTAACTGGTACCACCACCAAAAATGCAGATTTTCCCCAGGAAAAGTAGCATGATTTCTAGACTTTTGGACTCCTAAAGCACCATTTACTTTAGTCATATAGAACTACTTGTAGTTTACTGAGAAAATCATACTACCCCATGTCTCCATTCCCGTACTCACTACACAATTTGGTCTAAAGAACTCCTACCTGTTCCTCAAAACACAGTTCAAAAGTTGCCTTCTCAGGAAAGCAGCCCTGACTTCTCACTATGATGTACTTAGCCCTCTGCTGGGCTCCCCAACTGTACCCATATTTGCCTTTTTCATAGAACATTTTTTGCACTGTGATTGTAGAGGGGCCGATCTGTCATCATTCTAGACTGTAAGGTCTTTAGTATTTTTATTTCACATTGTTTCTATAGCACCTAGCACAGTATTTGGTACTTAGTAAGTTTTCCACAAATGTTTGTTGAATTAATGGGGGAAAAAAGACCAAACTGATGGATTTGCAACTGCTCCTGGATTAATGTTTTCTTTTCTCTTCCTGGTTTTCTTTTGTTCTCATGTTCATCATTCACTTGTTAACATATAATTTTATCTTTTGGGGCTGTTGGTATTTATGCAAATCACCTTAAATAGATTATTGTCATTTTAATCTAGATGCTACCTCTTAGGAAATAAAACATGGTGGGCAGAGCTCAAAGTTCAGGACTTCTGGTTACTTCTAGGACATTTGCAACAAGGGAGGGCAGTAGTGCATAGAAGAGCACAGCAACTTATGAAAAGAATACCACAGCATGAATGCCCTCGTCACACTGCCTAATCATGGAGAGATAGGTCTACATTTTCTGTTCCTAATTTTTTTCTGTCTTGTTTTGTTTGTTTTTGTTATCGTATTTTAGAATGAATAGGAACCGGATCAACAGTGCCTTTTCTTTGAATGACCAGACTCTGGAATTCTTAAAAATTCCTTCCACTCTTGCACCACCCACTGACCCATCTGTGCCCATCTGGATTATTATATTTGGTGTGGTATTTTGTATCGTCATAGTTGCAATCACGCTGTTGGTTTTATCAGGAATCCGGCAACGTAGAAGGTAAGATATTGAAAGGGAATGATTAAAGTGTGTTTTTCTATTTGCTCATGAATTGGAAAAATAAGGAGAGGATTTGTCCCTAGCTGAAGATAATGCCTTATATCCGAAACTTTGAAAAAAAATGATGATTTAAAAAATATCACTTATGCTCTTGTTTTTAGAGGCTTTTTGGAGTCCAATGTCCCTTATTTAATTATGCTTCTTTCCATTACTATAATTCTCTATTCTACACCATATGAATGTTACATATCCAGAGTCAATTTTAAATCTACGTTATGATTTTATAACCTAGATATACAGAGCTAAGCAGACTTTTTGGGTAGGCAGAGTTAGTCTTTGGTAGTCATCCACCTCCAAATGCCAGCAGTTCCACAGTTCTTTCCTCCCCACCTTGGCCTACCTCTTCTTGGCCCAGTGCCTGTAGCCGCCATCTTGTCCCAGATACTTTTTGGCTGTTTTATACTTCCCCCCTTTGATGGATGCTCATCCCTCTAGTGCTTATGGTATGATATAGAACTGCGTTCCTCCAAGTGGCCTTTGAATAAACTCCCTGCATCAGACTCACCTGGAGCACTTGTTTCAAATGTAGGTTCCTTGGCTTTATCACAGACCCACTAAATTAGAATCTCTGAATGGGATGCATTTTAATAAATATTCAGGTTACTTTAATTAGTTTAGTTTGACAGCTTCCAATTTAGCACCTTTTGAATAAATTTCTACTTCTTGAGTTTATTTACCTGGATTCTGGGACACTTGCAAATTTTGCTGTCTAAATGAATGATATTACTTCAAGAGAGAACTTCAGACTAGTGGTGGAGTTAGTAAGGTTGTGGGGCAGGTTGAGAAGAGACAGGATTTCTCAGCTTGATGAAAGGAGAAAACTTTGTTTACAAGTACCTCTGATACAGACGGGAAGTGGAGGGAGGCCTCAACTCTTCACTGGACACTTGGATGCTTCTAAACCTTTCTTTATGATATCGAGAAAGGAAAATTCTGATAAGTGGGGCATGCATTGTTTTCAAAAGGGTTGATGCCCAGATAGGACATGAAAGATCTGTTTGGCCAAGTGTGTGTTCAACTCAATGTTTCTCCTGAGGTTTGCTACTTTTCATATGTTTCACCTTAGTTACTAACACATGGGAATCATTTTAAATGATGGGCTTTATAATTTTTCACAAATGATAAGTGAAATGCTGTGGAATAAATGTGATTTATGTCTAGTCCCAAATTAAACTCAAAGATTGAGATCAAGTTGTGCTTGCTTGATTTTCTTGAGCTTGTACAAAGAGACTTGGTACAAGTTGTTTTTTATTATTTTTTAGAATATTAAGAAATATTTTCTGTAATATTTGAATACCTACATTTAATATTTTACAGTTTTGCATTAATCCTAAAATGCTAAAATTCTATGGATTCTATTGATTGTAACCTTTATGGATTGACTTTATCTCCTTGTTTCCCAATATAGCATAGGAGTTTAAAAAATGGACTCTGGAGATAAACTGCTTAGATTCCAAGTATTTATCACCTGATTCTGCTCTTATATATAATCCATTAACTGTATGAATATCAGGAAGCACAGGCAATGAGTCAGGGAAATCAAGCTCAGGAGAATATAGTTTGTGGTGCTAGAATCACGTTGGTTAATTTTTTCCTCTGTGTGTAGATAACTTGGCTATAGCAACAGCGAGGTATACTAGAAATAATTAACTTGGTGGGGTAAAAAGAGTTAATGCAGTAAAGTGCTTAGAGTGGTGCCTGGCATACAGCGAGCGCTCAATAAGTGTTAGCTGTTACTATTATTTTATTATCCTGCCATTTGCTGGCCTTTCAGCTAGTTTGTGCTGGGATCAGCTCTTTCCTTCTGAGTAGATTCTACAGTAATATAATAATTGGGTGTGTAGCATCATAATCTGTTGCCTGGGAGAAGTGAGGCTGTTGTCACAGCTTTGCCTCCACAAATTCATTTCATGTTCAAACTAGGAAAACAGATGGACAAATCTCTTTGTAAACCTGGAGAGCATCAATAATTAGCAAATATAGTCAGGACAATTATGACAGCGTTCTGAAGATAAATTGATTAGTTGTGTTTTAAGTTTGCTATAATCTGGTGGGTTTCTCTTGTGCAAAGTATTATTTCAGAGTGAGGAGAAGGTATAGTTTGAAGTGGGGAGAGCCCTAATAATTGTGATGAAAGCCTTTTCTAATCATGGAAAATATATGATCTGTCCCTTAAACCTTTAGTCTTGAGGGAGACAAGATGAACTGCATATACTTCACAATGATGTCTGTACTAGATCTATGTCTAGCCCCAGCCCAGATGTAGATGTTTTAGTTCTCTTGTCAGCCTTATGATGATGGTGATGATGATGATGGTGTTGGTAGTAATAACGGTGATAGTGATGGTGGATGATGATGTTGACAATGATGCTTATAATAGTGAGGATGATGTGATAATGGTAATGGTGATGATATCGATGATGTGCTGTGTGTGTTTTAGTAGAAAGAGCACTGGATCAATACTATTGGTTTTAGGTTCCAGTCTCAGACCCTGGCATTTATTAGCTGAGTGACCTTTAGTATGTCACATATGGAAAATGAGAATATTTTTCACCTAGCTCCCTAATTGTTTCAGAAATTTTAGAGCTTAATAATTATGTTTTTTTTCTTTGCTGTTCTTAAATGTACATACTCAATAGGAATCACATATGTGTTTTGAGTGAAGCCTGCGAGACTAAATAGAGTTCTAGGTCCATTGCTTTCACCAATCTTGTTGCATTCTGAAAGACAAGTTACTCTACATATTTGAATCTTAGCTCAAATATGAAAAGTAGGGACACCAATACACTGTTCATAATATTGCAATGGGAATTAAATGAAATGATGTGCGCAAAGCACTGGTTTCTGCCATGTAATAGATACTAATTATTATTATTATTGCTATCACATGGCAGATATAAAGCAATCTGCCTATAGATATATGGTTAGAAAGTACTGGTACCATTGTTTAAAACAAGGCAGGCTTGATCCCAAAGCCCACCAATCTCACTGTGCTGCAATGCCCACTGAAACTGTTCCAGCAACACGATTTTCCCCAGGAATCATCCATATTGATTATGAAGACAGCCCCAATTCTCCAATGATTTATTATGTGTTTAAAAATCATATTTGTCTATCTTTTGTTGTTTTTATGGCTATTCTTGGGCCTTGGCTCTTCAGCCCTATCTTTTTGAAGGAAGACAGAAGTACTCTTTCGCCACCACTACTTTATCTTGAGCAATCCCTATTCATTAACACCCCCTAGTTCTGAGGGACACGCGATATTTCTTTTGTCTCCTCTTTTGTCCCTTTTCTCTCTAGATCTGTGGGAGATTATTCACTCTGAAGGCTCCTAGGGGCTACTTTTAGGTATTTTAGTCACTCAAAAATATATATCTATATATTTGATTTCAGAGAGGAAGGAAGAGGGAGAAAGAGATAGAAACGTCAGTGATGTATGAGAATCATTGATCAGCTGCCTCCTGCACACCCCACACTGTGTATCAAGCCCTCAACCCGGGCACGTGCCCTGACCAGGAGTCGAACCGTGACCTCCTGGTCCATAGGTCGACACTCAACCATTGAGCCATGCCAGCTGGGCCAGTCACTTTTTTTTTTTATTCTCTTCCTGAACTACCTGACATTGCAGGAACAGCGGAAGTCATTTAACACTTAGTTTTATTTTTCAGGATTTTTTTTTTCAGAACAACAAATCGGAATGATTCAGAAAGATAGTTAAGTTTTATTATTCTTAGTAGAAGCAATGCACAGGCAGTGAATCAGTTTATTACAGTACGCACTATGAAACGTGACAAAATGCTGTATTACTACTGTAAGATCACCTTTGAACTGCTTATCATGTCCACCAGCCAGAATGTTACTGACACTGCAATTTGTGAAGCCCAGCAATGTCAAGACTCTGTATGAGTGACTCTAAGGTCACAAAAGAACAATATGTACCTACTTTGCCACTGACACAGCTCAGTTTGCTAAATTTCCACAGCAATTTCACTCAGCATCTCTTTTGGTTGAGAAATCCTTCTAAAAAATAAAACTTGTCCTCATCTGTTTGCATCTTCCTTTTTAGTTCCTCCCCATTCCTTTGTAGTGACGGATGGATTATTTTTCCTTTGTGGTTGAGGAGCAGGAGGCAAGATTCCTTGCAGTGATCTGCCTGGGATCACCTGTCTGCAGTTTTATTCCAATCCCATAAAAACGTTTTTAAAGTGAAGAAACTGGTAAATAAACACTAGCAACTGTTATTTCCAACACTGTGTTACATTGCCACCTACTTCAGACTGCTCCATCCACTAAGATTTTTATAATATGGCTTTCATACTTAACACAGAAATTTTTAGGGTAAGATTGGACTGTTTACAATCTCCTTATTGTTATGGATATTATTCACTTCAAGCCCAATCTGGAGTGACTTGGGGGAAAATTGATTGAGTTGGGCATTTTTTAATGATAATTTATAAATATACATTTGTTTCCAGGGCTTCATCCCTACTGAAATATCACTCCTCTCTTTTGTAATCCATAAAAAAAATGGAGGGAGGGAGCATGAGTGAAATTTGGAGTTTTTCCCTTTTATTGAATCTTTTCTTTTCACTTTAGGACATGGACTGTGTCTCTTCCACCATATAGTAGGCACTTAAAACATAGTTATTCAATGAATGTTGGGTACTATAAATGAAATGATGGGATTGATCGTTATAGAATGTCAGTTTTGTTGTTTGCTTTCTGGAGGACGTGGAAAGTAACAATACTCCTGTCCAGAAGAGGAGGGGCCAAAGTATTCTAATCCTCTGGTAGGTGACATCATCTGGCAGGGGGACCTTCTCATCACATGAAACTATGCCCACCCCAACCTGTGTTGATCACTGATTGCTGGGGCCTGGAATAGCCATTGTAGTGTCTCACTCTGAGGATGGAGAAACACAGAAGCCTATCCTTTCCTAGGTCTCTGGGACTATAACCCCCAACTTTCAACCCAGCATTGGGTCTTATAGTGACACATTTGACAGAGGCATATAAAATGGCACAATACTTTCAAGTGATGACAGTGGGATCTACAGTATTGGATGCTACTTTCATTATGAACTCCAGCTATTTGAAATTATCTAATAAACCATCAACAAAGCCTGGCAAAATCTATACTAACTCTTAATTCCTAAGGTAGGATAATGAATATTTTCCTCCATCCATTTGAAAAAATAACAATACAAGAGATATAGGAAATATCACTCGTGTATGTGTTCCTTCCCTTCCTTCCCTCCCTCCCTCTCCTCCTCCCCCTCCTTCTTCCTTTTCTTCTTCTTCTTCTTCTTCTTCTTCTTCTTCTTCTTCTTCTTCTTCTTCTTCTTCTTCTTCTTCTTCTTTCTTCTTTCCTTCTTTTCTTCTTCTTCTTCTTCTTCTTCTTCTTCTTCTTCTTCTTCTTCTTCTTCTTCTTCTTCTTCTTTCTTCTTCTTCTTCTTCTTCTTCTTTCTCTCTCTCTCTCTCTCCTTTCTTTGCAGTGGATTCCATTCAAGATACACCTTCGGGTACTATCTGAGTAACTTAGTCCATCCATCCATTAACTTTTTATCCAGCCAGTCACTCATTGATATACATTCATTGATCCATCCATTTACCCTCTGTATAACTAGGTAGCCAGCCACCTATGTGTCTGTTCATCCAATTCCAAGCCCACTCTGTGCTGAGTCCAGATCAGCTGTTTTACAACATATATTTACATTTATTTGGGTTTTGATTTCTCTGATTACTTCCTCCTGAGAGATTAAGGTAAAAAAAATGTTGATGGGGTAGGGCAGGAACATAGAATTACATATATAATATATAATTTTAGTGTGTCACATCTGGAGGCACTTGTGAATTTGTCTCATTTGTTGGTGATGTTCACCAAATTCCTCCCTTGACAAAATACAAATGTCTCTTTATAATTAGTACATTGCTTGTGGGGGTGATATATTGAGACCATGTAAATATCCTGTTCCCTAACCATTTCTCACTCAGTGGTTTAGTATCCATTGATGAGCCTCATTAGAATAAATTATTATTATAGTGGTTATTTTCTGTTACTCTTTCTACATCAGCTACCATTCTTTCATAAACACAAGCTCTTTCTTTTCTCTCTCTCTTCCTACACCATATTCTTTAAAGCATATTGGAGTAGACTTCCATATAGGACTAATAGGAAACCCTACCTCAGTCGTCACTGGGGCATCTTCACCACCTCCTCACCTTCCAGAGTCACTAAGGTTCTAAGGCACTTCCATAGTGGTGGGAGTCTGTCCCAGTCACCACAGCAATGCCTACCATCCCAGACATGTGATGATTCAGGTCTGCCTCTTTGGAGTTTCCTTAGATTCCTGGGACAATAGAATCTTTGGTAAGTCTGGGAGCTTTGTGCTTAACATCATGCCTCCACTGTGCCCCAACACTTAACTTGTGATAAGCCTCAGGGAAACTCTTCCTCTCTGTGATTGCCTAGAGCAGTGGTCGGCAAACTGCGGCTCTCGAGCCACATGCGGCTCTTTGGCCCCTTGAGTGTGGCCACGAAGTTTCAATCGCACTGTACGTGTGCGCCCGCACATGGTATTTTGTGGAAGAGCCACACTCAAGGGGCCGCAGTTTGCCGACCACTGGCCTAGAGGTACCCACCTCTCCATTTTGCTCCTTACCTCTATGATATCAAGCATAATTGGCTCAACTGTTTTTGGTCTTTCACAAAAGACAGGAAGAACTTTTGAATTAAAGGCTACAGTTTTCCACACTCCAAAGAAATATTAAGGGCCTGGTTACCACTTGGGTGGGGTAGCAGTGTCTACAAAGGATCTGAGAATGAAAACTCAGAATTTATCCTGTCATGTAGCATTTTTGAAATGACCTGGAATTATAGCTATGAGTTGTAATATAATCAGTAAAATGTTTTGAGTTCCAAAAACTTGGCTTACAAATAAATACAACTGTTTTGTAATGAGTAGAGCCAAGCAATGATACCTACAATATATAATGTTTACTTCCTTGCTCTAAAGTAATGTGAGCTTGCTTCTTCATATGTCATTTCAATTTGATTTTCACTCAACATTTGCAGACCATTAATTTATCAAATCCTATGAGAGGAATTTATTACTTTTTTAAATTCAATTTTTGTGAAGTTCTCCTAGAGCAGTTGTTCTCAACCTTCTGGCCCTTTAAATACAGTTCCTCATGTTGTGACCCAAACATAAAATTATTTTCGTTGCTACTTCATAACTGTCATGTTGCTACTGTTATGAATCATCATGTAAATATCTGATATGCAGGATGGTCTTAGGCAACCCCTGTGAAAGGGTCATTCGACCGCCAAAGGGGTCGTGACCCACAGGTTGAGAACCGCTGTCCTAGAGCCAAATTTTTTAACTTACCAATTTACCGTACATTTCCCTCATATTCCTTCATTCAATTTGTGTGTTAATGTAATGTATATATGTATGTATGCAAACATACTCATTTATATAAATATACATATGCATTCGTATATATGTATTCCAAGTAAGATCATTCATTTTGATCAATATGTATATGTCATCCATGCAGACTTCTTATCTTGATAGCATCTTTTCACCACATCAGCTCTTTATGATCTTTGAAGCTTATTTGAAAACTAGGGGCCCAGTGCACAAATTCATGCACCTTGAAAGGAACTGTGGGCTGCGAGGCTGCGGTGGGCATAGGGGCTGGTCTCGGCCCATCCTCCAAGCCCCTGCCTGGCTCCTCCCACTGTGGCCCCAGGTCCCCTGTCTGCCAGCAGCCTTGCTCCTGCTGCCGCTGCTCCCACGCAGTGATAGAGCAGGCCCCACTTGCACCTGCTGATGGCGTGGAGTGATTGGGGCTGGTGCTGGCAGTGGGTGTGAGTGGGGCTGGTGCCATCAGCAGGTGTGAGCGGCGGCTGCTGCCCTGATCACCCCTCAGGAGCAGGGGGAGATGGAGAAGCCCTTAGGGGCAATTGGGGATGGCAGCTGCCGCTCACACCCACTGACGGCGCCAAGCGATAGGGACCAGTGCCGAGCACCCGCAGTGGGTGCAAGCGGTGGCTCTGGCTCTGGCAGCAGGTGTGAGTGGGGCCAGCACTGGCTGCAGGTGCAAGCACCAGGCAGGTCTGTGGCGCACAGGAGCAAAGAATTTTCAGTAATCATCAGAGGTTTGCCCTGATGACAGCGACTGGTGCCCTGCCTTGGTATGGCGCCCCTGCTCACCTGCTCCACCATCCCTCTGCAGCTGACACCCGCCATGTTCTGTGTGCGCCCCCTGGTGGTCAGCGCACATCATAGCAACCAGTTGTTTGGTTGTTCCGCCTTTTGGTCTATTTGCGTATTAGGGTTTTATATATATAGATAAATAGCATCAATTTTTCATCATTCTAAGTTTCCTCTTTCCTTTCCTGCTTTCCCTATTTGTGTAGAAGACCATGATTTCTCCTAGATCCCAATAATTCTTTTTATGTGCATTTAGGAAGAACAAAGAACCATCTGAAGTGGATGACACTGAAGATAAGAGTGAAAACACGATCACTATTGAAAATGGCATCCCCTGTGACCCCCTAGATACGAAGGGATGGCACATTAATGACACTTTCATGACAGAGGATGAGCGGCTCACCCCTCTTTGAAGGGCTGCTGTTCTGCTTCCCAAGAAACTCACACATGTTTCTGTGCAACTGTTGAGCACCATAAATTATTAAGGGCAGATTACATATTTTGTTTCACCATTCTTCTTTTGTAAGAAAATTTGAATGTGCATGAAAGTGAATCAATAATACCTGTGAAGACCATTGGAATCATAAGCTGTTGACTACTCCAAATATTTTAAAGTATTTCCCTGACAACACAGTGTGTAAGTGTAGTCATTTGGTGTTTGTAATTATTGATTTAAAAGTCCATCAGTATTTAAGCATTTCCAAAAATAAGGACTATATATATTTTACACTCTGGAGACCTAAGGAAAAATATTTTTCCAATGGAGAATCCCTATAATAATTATGAATATTATTTATATCACTCTGTATATGACTAAGTAAGCAAGGATAAAAGTAATTATTGTACATGGGATGGATAAAAATGGAAGTATTGATAAGGTAGAATTTGATCCTGTTATAACTATTGCTTATGTATTTTCTGTCAATCTCTACTAGTGCAGCTCTATTTGTTGACTTTTTCTGCAATCTGTAAAAGTACTATACTAAATAAAGTGCTAATTATTTTTTTGATTATGTGACTGTGGTCTGAGGTTTACTTTTACACGGTGAAACATAGTAAGCCTAATTTTTATTAGTTACATTTAATCTGTTCTACAGTCTAGAAATGAATTATTTTTGTTGTATGTATCCTTCCTTGAAGACATCTTGTAATTTTTAGAATTGGTTTTCCTTTCAGATAGGCCATGTGTCGTTCTAAATGCTAATAATTATTATACATTTATTAATAGAAAGAAAATTTGGTGCTCAGTCTCCCACTGCTATCCCCATAGTTGATGTTACAGCAACAGTTTCTAGCTCACTTCCCTGCCTCCAATACTGCTCCCTGAGTATCGACTCTAAAATGGATACTTGCATGAAGGTTTATTGAGGTCTGCTCTCAGGACATACACCTGTAAGAAGTGAGGAAGGTGAGAGTGTGGCAGACAGACTTTAAGATACCTGCCATCTCCTGATGTTTACACCTCCATGCAACCTGCACTCCTTGAGTGAGGATGGGACCTGTGGCTTGCTTCTAATGAATAGAATAGAGCAAAGGTGATGAGCCATCACTCCTGCAATTACTTTATATTATGTCTAAGCAGACTTGTTCTAGAGCAGTGGTTCTCAACCTTCCTAATGCCGCAACCCTTTAATACAGTTCCTCATGTAGTGGTGACCCCAATTTCATTGTTACAAATGGAACATAATTAAAGCATAGTGATTAATCACAAAAACAATATGTAATTATATATGTGTTTTCCGATGGTCTTAGGTGACCCCTGTGAAAGGGTCATTCGATCCCCAAACGGGTTGCGACCCACAGGTTGAGAACCACTGTTCTAGAGACTCTCCTTGATGGCTTAAGTAAGTGGCCGTTGGGAAGCCCACATGAAAGAAACTAAGCAGCCTCTAGGAATTGCTGGTGGCCTGCTGGCACTGAAGGCAGCCTCCAATCAATCAACAGCCCTAGCAAGAAGCTGGGGTCCTCAGTCCTACAAACACAAGGAAATTGATTCTGTCAACAACTAGACTCAAGTCTCTAGATAAGAATACAGTCTGGCCAACACTTGGCAGCCTGAGCAGAGGATCCAGTTACGCTGTGCCCAGACTCCTGACCCATGGGCATTGTGAGATGATAAATGTGTGTTTTTAAAGGTACCGAGTTTGAGGTAATGTGTTATGCAGCAATAGGAAACTAATAAAGTAGGATTAGGTAGAGCAAGAAGTGACCAGCAACATGGTTACAGCAGAGGCCTCAGTCGATCCTTCAGGGAGGTTAGGAGCTGAGATTGTCCCTGATTGAGTGAGATAAGATGGATGGGCCTTTGTATCTCATTAGCCAGTTATGGCCATGAGTGCTGTTGGAGAGGGTCTGCCCTTGGGAAAGATAGCTCCCTGTGGCTGGGGACAATTCCCATCGAAGGACTCAGTTGTGAGACTTTTAAAAGCCAATATTTTCAGAAGCTGAGGATGTATGTACATGGGCCCTGAAGAGAAGGCCTTGTGGACCCCAGAATGTCCACCACACCCTTTCCAGTCCATTGGCTACAGTATAGCTTGAATAAATATCCAACATGTAAACCTAATCCTCTTGGTTCCTAACATAGAAGCTTTTATTTTTATTTATTTTTAAAAATATATTTATTGGAGGTGACATTGGTTGATAATGATATCATATAATTTTCAGTTGTATATCTTATAATTTAACATCTGTATACTCTATTGTATGCTCACTAAATGGCATCTTATTTTCTTTAGGATAAAGCCAGACTTCTTAACACTGGGCCAACTGTAGTTTTACCTTCACTTTCCTCTCTAACTTCATCTCTCACCCCTGCTTTTTCTATCTCTTTGCCTTTCTTTCATCAATCATAATAGTTCCCTCACATCTAGGTCTTTGAACAAGGTGTTCCCTCTACCTAGAACACTCTTCTGTATCTCTCAGCTACTCTTCCAGCTTATCCTTATGGTCTATCTCACTTAAACATCTTGCCTTCCTGGAGGTCTTTGCTGGACCTCCTGGCTTTGTGCTGTTAGAATGCTCAGATAGTTATGCTCATCTTGTACTTTATATTTAAGTGTATTTTATGGAAGAAGGAGACCACAAACCAAGAGTGCCCTGGGGCCCCCCAAAACCCTAATATAGCCTGTCTCTCTAAACATTTTCATAACCACTTTAGTTTGCTCCCACCTCTAATTTGATAGAATTAATTACTGGGTTGTAACCTCACCATATTGATATTTTCAATTGAAATGATTATAATATTTCATTTTATTTATTTGTTTACATATCTATCTTCACCCTAAGTATAATATTCTTAGAGACAGTTTTCAAATCAGTTAGCATACTGCCTTGTCTTCCTCTTTTCTTTCCTTCCTTTCTCCCTTTTTTCTTTCATTTATTCTGCAATGGTGAGCAAAACTGAACACAGTTCCTGCCCTCATAGAGCTAAAAGTCTGCATAGTCAGAGCTCAATAAATGTGTGCTTATAGACAAGCGCATGAAATTGTAGCTGTTGCAAGCTCATAGTCTTATCTCTTCTGAGAGCAAAGGCAGAAGGTTTTTTACTTGGACACCATTTTACTTGGGAACCATATGCTCTTTAATATTATTAGAGGTTCCTTACTTTTAGGAGAGGAATGATTTTTGATCTCTCAGTTGGCAACATATGATTTACTAAAGGACAATTTTCTATCTTACATCCTCTTGAGTTGTATACACTAGAATAGAGTATCTTTGCATATAGAACTGATGAAACATCTTCTGAATTAATCAGTGTGTACTAGCAAGCATAATCCAAGACATGTATTATCATGAGGATGGAAATTGTTCTTGGGAGGGAGAAAAAAGTTTAGATATTACAATGGTTTATATTCCTCCAAAGGGCAATAGTACATAAACAGATACAAAGTATATCTATGGCATTAAAATTTCATGGGTAAGCTATCAGGAAAATATGTCTAAAATGTCTCAATAATTGGAAAAATGGTTGAGAAACACTGATTCTAGATAAGCTTCTTATTTTTAAGGTATAGATAAACCAATTTGATCACTAAATCATTTTCTTCACTGTCTATTTATTCTGATGCTAAGGGGGATTTACTCCAGTTGCAAAGGTCTGTTCCACTAAATATACTTGTTGGGTAAGTCTTCTATGCTAGCAGAGATGTGCTGTAAACCTGACAGTCAATATAACAGCAAAATGGAGCTTATGTGTCCTGCCTAATGCCTTTGACAAACACTCTGGGTAATTAGAGAGTAGCAATCAGCAACTACACCTTCCATTTTTAATGTAATGATCTTGCTATGTGCCACAAGGGAACACATTTCGAGGTGATATGTACTGGAAATAAAATGTTGTAAAGCAATTGGAAATATCACTGTCATTCAAGTCCCCAAGTCCTTAACAAAAACTACAATGAAACTGGAAAGATAAAAGTGTGTGAAAACCAAGTCACTACAGAAAAACTTAGCTGGTATGGTGATATCTGGACTTGTTTCACAGAAGCACTGTAGATACAAAACTTTTTTTTGGGGGGGGGTGTAGTTTTCTCTTCCACGTTTTTCATCAGGACTTACCAATACAAAATATCACTATATAAAATAATGCAGTGAGTTCTTGAATTTAGATGATACATGATCAGATTTCAAATGTGAATATCACCAAGTGAAATATGCACATTTATGATTACTGGATAAGGAACAAGGAATAGGAGAGAACACAGGTTAAGAACCAAAAATAGTAAAACATTTTTTTTTTACTTTTTATTGATTTCAGAGAGGAAGGGAGAGGGAGAGAGAGATAGAAACATCAATGATGAGAGAGAATCATTGATCAGCTGCCTCTTGCACAGACCGAGCCCGCAACCCCAGCATGTGCCCCTGACCAGAATCGAACCCAGGACCCTTCAGTCCGCAGGCCAATGCTCTATCCACTGAGCCAAACCAGCTTGGGCAGTAAAACATTTCTTAGAGTTCAAATCCCCAGTCCTTATTTCACATTCACGGGGCCTCTTAACATAGTATTTTATTTACCATTTTACATCTTGTTTTCCTTCATTAAAATGTCACATATCTAGTTACCTCAATTACATAAAAAAAGTAAGTTTTCTTCTTTCCTACTATTCTTTTTTTGGTCCTTTCCTTCCTTCTTTCCTTCTTTTCTGCCTCAAGAATTTACTGAAATGTCCACTCTATGTAAGATATCATGTAAGGATCAGAAAACATAAACAGAGAAAGAATGTCCTGGAAAGGACCCATTCATTATTTATGACAAAATTAAGTTTATTACTAAGAATACCATTCTCATTTGGGAATTTTGGCTTGACTGGATGAATGAACAAATGAATGAGTGAATAATTTCTAGTTGTTATTTTTGAATTATTGTGCTCTTTATTTTCATAGCATTGTTTAAAAAATAATTTTTATCAGTTATGGGTGCAGAATAAGAGCCAATTTATAAAGCATAGTATTAATTTCCTCTTTAGTCTAACACAGTGGTCACAGTATTAGGGTAGCAGTAGTAGTAGCAGCAGCAGTAGTAGTAATAGTAGTAGTAGTAGTTGGTGTAAGTCTCTATGGTGTTACTGGGCAGTAAAGGAGTTTGGCCAGTAAAGAAATGACAACTGTGTCTCTACATGTCATTTTTCCATAGTTATTCCTTGATGGTGCTTATATTTTTTGAAGACTAGTGAACATCCTATAAAATAAAACCCTAATATGCAAATTGACTGAACAGCAGAAGGACCAGTTGCTATGATGCACACTGACCACCAGGGGCCAGACGCTCAATGCAGGAGCTGCCCCCTGGTGGTCATTGCGCTCCCACGGGGGGAGCACCGCTCAGCCAGAAGCCGGGCTCATGGCTGGTGAGCACAGTGGCAGTGGCGGGAGCCTCTCCTGCCTCCACAGCAGCGCTAAGGACCCCTTGGGGGATATCCAACTGCCGGCTTAGGGGAGCGAGCTTAAGCCGGCAGGTGGACATACCCTGAGGAGTCCAGGACTGCGAGA